TGGAACATGTGCTACAATCATGACCACCTTCGTTAATTTGGATAGTTGGGTTTCGATTTGGGGGTATTTACCTCTTTTACACCCAGTGGTGAATCCGTATAACAACCATCTTCTTGAGAAGTGTGCTTCGAATCTCCAGCCATGTTTTTTATTAATTCCCGAATTTATGTTGGGGTCTTGTCAACAATAGATCCTCCACTTGAAGCATTGATGAGTCGTTTCTCCCATGGTAACATGCCTTCACAAAAGTATTGAAGAAGGTTATATGTGGAAATACCATGTTTCAGAGATCGGGTGCACAACTTCTTGAATCTTTCCCAGTAGGTGTGCAAAGCTATATTCTTGTTTTGCTTTATTCTGATGATCTACATTCTCAAATTTGAAGCATTCATCTTGGGAAAGTACTTGTCCAAATACAATCGTCCAAGATCAACCCACGTATTGACCGTCCCCAGAGGGAGGTCATAAAACCAATCTTTTGTTGCATCTTGCACCGCGAAAGAGAATTCTATAAGCTTAATTTGGTCTTCCATAACATTGTGTGGTTTCATGCTAATACACACAACATGGAATTCGACGAGGAGTTTTTTTGGGTCTTCATTTTCAAGACCTCTAAAGGTGGGTAGTAAGTGGATGAGTCTGGATTTTAGTTTGAGGTTGGTGGCTGCCGGATAGGTGATGCAAATAGGTTGTTGAGTGACCACTTTCCCCACCCATTGGCGAAGGGTTTGCTTGCGTGGTGCAGTAGGGTTGTCATTATTATTATCACGAATTTATGTAGGTGTAAATGTTGGTATTCTTTGAGTGGGTGAGGAAGGTGGAGTGGTATTTCTAGATGAAGATGGTTGAGGTGAGGGTGAGAGGATTTCCGTGTCTGATGGACTTGAGAGGGGTACACCCTCTCAAATGTTAATGATTGGATGAGTGGATAACGAAGAGTTCCCAAAATTTGGTTGCCTCTTCCGCATCTTGGCTTGTTTCTTTATCCTTATAAGTGTTTTCTCAATTTCTATATCAACTGGAAAAAGAGTACCTGTGTGAAAAGATCTTGGCATATACAGCTAGTAACACCGTGTCTCCGATAATGACGCCAATTTGTTAGGGTGTCAAACCCAACAAATAATATGGGTAAAATAGACTCCAAATGCACTACTTTAATGCTCTAAAAAGCAGTATAATGCAAGCAGGGTTGAACCACAGTGACATAGGACAATAGTCTATACCTCTTTACACAAGGTACTTTTGTCACAAAGGGAGAGTTTTGTATGCAAAATGTTAAGTAATGTAAATAACAATCTACTTTGAAAATATGTAACACCCCTCACATGGGCCTATTTGATTTAGCCTTTAATAAAATACTTCAAAATAATTTCAAAGGTATAGTTTGTAGAAAACAATTTCCAGTGTTTAATTCAATATGTTTTACAGAGTTCAAATACAGATAACGGTCCCAATTAAAAATTTCCAAAACATTTAGTGGTTTAATACACCAAATCATGCGAGAGTGGTACAACAGATATTAAACAAAGGTTTAAGAAGATATTACAAACCATAAGTCTTCTAAATATCCAAAGCTTATGCGTCTCCTATGCTTCTGACAATATCTACTAACTTGTAACAATTTATCAACAAGTGGGTTAGTCTATGAGAGTCTACTGAGTACAATCCCATGGTAAGACATTATGGACGGTGTATGAATGAACACTGTGGTTCATACATTAATGTACAAACCCATAACTTCTGAAAAACAACAAATCAACATCAAGGTAAGCTTGGGGTAAAATGACACATAAGACAAAGTACATTGTCATTTATGACAATTCCCAAATAAAATTCACTATTACGTAAATAATACCAAGTGGGTGTACCCAGAGTAGCACCTCTTAATAATCAGAAAAAATACAATAGACAAACTATTAAATGCGCAAGTGAGCTAAAACATGATAAAAATCCACATTTTCGCATTCCATATTTCTAATAAATCCAAAGCAATATAAGAAATTGGATTTATAATCCAAAAATAATATAAGGATATAACACGCCCAAAGCAAACAGAAAATGACAACCAAATCTTTCTTAATAAACAATCATATCAGAAATTGATTTTAAATCAATTTCAAAAAAGTTTTCTAAGCTCGTGATAATTAAAACGAATGTACGTAAAACTTTTGGAGATAAAATTTAAATATAAATTTGCTTAGGAAATCCAACTAGACAGAAGAATTGAAACGATAGACTGATTAATTGTAAATATTTTTATAATGTGCATTTATTCATATTTTGTTTCACATTTCACTATACGAATACACAATGATGACATTGTTTTGCTAATGTGCAATGATTCAAAGACTGTCATTTCAATATTTTATTGCTATGATTCATGTCTTGTTTGTAATGGCAATATTAAGGTTGGTAGGTATGGGTTATACACTCCACACCATTTTGTTTTTCACATCGTATGTCATGTCATTTTCATACCATTTAATATTTGTTAGGAAATACCCACCACACAACCACACCATATTTAAGAGGAAAAAAGAATAAAAATTAAAAATTAAAAATCTAAAAGATGATTGGTACCAAATAAGTTTCTAAGTGTTGTGCTACATTGAGGAGACAACACTTCTTAACACAACATCTATTGAGGAGACAACACTTCTTAACACAACATCTATTGAGGAGACAACGCTTCTTAACACAACATCTATGGGGGTGGTGTTCTTAAGGCCTTAATAGTGTTTAGCAAGGCCACCTCAATCTCTGAACACCATTTTTTGGCTCATACCGCACACTCTAAACAATTAGAACATTTCCTTACAAAAACCATCTAAAACACATTTGTGTAAATACCTATCAAGTATCAAAGAATCAGAAACATGTATCTTATCACAAAACCAGTAACATATTTTCAAAATCGATATTCGATAGCAATTGTCACAAAGTCAGTGTATTATCTCAAAATCAGTATACTATCACAAAATCAGTATATTGTCATAAAATCGGTATATATTATCACAAAATCAGGATATTGTCACAAAATCAATATATTATCACAAAATCAAGTATTCTCAAATCGAAACAATTATCAAAATCACAAAACGACTAACAATGAGACAAAGAAATTAGAAGCATGTATTTTATCACAAAATCTATAACATAGAACCAGAAAAAAAAAACATGAGCAAGAGAAAGGTAAAATCAATAACACAGATGAGCAAAATCAATAACATAAAACAATGACATCAAAACATCAAACCTGTAGTTTCAGATAAGCACAAAGAGAGAAGAAAATGGAGTTAAGTTTGTCATATGAGATAGAAAAACTTTGTGAGAAAATGAGGGTAAAGTTGTCAAATTTTGGCTCTAAAATGGGACGAATTCACAAAAACTAAACACATATCGAGCATAACAGTAGTGTTGTTCGAAATAGTCACTGACGGTAGCAGAAGAATGAAAGTGAATGGTGGTGTTCGAAGTAGTCATTGGTGAAGAGAGATTAATGGTGGTGCTAGGGGTTATAAAGGCGAAAAGGATAAAAGTAAAGAAGGATGTCAGCTTTCAGAGACAATATGAGTGATGAAATTAGCGGCAACAAACTCATTAATGACAACATTTTAAGTGACATTAGCAGCAAGAGTTATTAGCGGTGAGAAGTTAAAGGCACTAGCAACGACATGAAAATAAGGTGGTGGTGAGCCTTGCCGGTTGTTTTAGGGAGCATTAGTGGCGACATTAGGTCTCCCATATTGGTGTCTTCCCTATTTTCCGGATGAGAATGTAAGCAAATGATCGAGATGACTTAGGTTATAAAGAAACAATGCACATAGATCTAACAACATAAGCAATATGGGTGACATCATTAGCAGCGACAAGGGCATTAGTGGCGACACCAAACACATTCATCTTGGTGTCACCGCTAAAAATGCCACCCTAATGCCCATATTTCTTAGTGTTTGAAAGTCAAAATCCTAAGTTGATAGAGTATCGACCCATAAATCACTAAATCAGTAAGTAAATCGATGTCTTCCTAAATAAGTCCAAAATTAACCGAATAAACCTCTAAAAAATGATATTCAACAACTTATATGTTGTTTCAAGTTGTAACTTAGTCAGTTTAGGGTGACATATTTAAGATTTGTGATAAAACAAAAAGTTCAGATTCTAGACTTAAGAGTGACGTAGAGTTTGGGAATTTTCTCAATTGTAGTGATTTTTTTTTATTTTTCTGAAATATATTCTTATAGAAGTATAACTAATCAGTTTTGGATACTAGTAGTACCAATGGTGGAACTAACAGGGGGACATGTGGGTGTCGGAACACCCCCAGCCCCAATCCATCTCTTTTAAATTGGACTAGAAATATACAACCGTCTAAAGTTCATTATACCTAAAGACCAATGTTCATTTTAAATCTCTTTTAATCCCTACTTATTCTAACATTTTGGCTCTGTCCTAAGCGAGATGAAACAATAATGTGTGGAAAGATATACCATTGTATTTCACCAACATTTTCCAATCGTATTAACATATTCTAAAACGCGCGTTATTAAAATGTACATAATCAACAATGAGTAAAACACTTTCTATGCGACATAATCTTTTGTCTCCATTCAAAAACACACTTACCACCCTCTTTTAAAAAGATTCCAAACGTTTTTATTGTGACGAAGATAAACCCAATTTAAGCCAACTTTATTGACTCGACTATTGGTGTAAATCTCGCTCCCTGGTCCAACCCTTAATTTATGTATTTGCCATTATGTCAATGTAGTTATATCTATATAAGTATATATTGTGTTTAATGAGAAAAGATTATTAATTATCACACTCTAATACCATTCTAATCTAATGATTATCCATGAATAATCTTTTCTCATTCTACACAATATATAGAAAATTTCATGGACATACACCGAGATATACACACTAACGTTGACAACAAAAGCCTGGACATTTTTTTTTTGGGAAAACGTAACATCCAAGAGTTGAAGCTAGTGAAAACCGGACATGAAACATTTTTATTTAAAGTTCATTAATCTCAGTGGTTCACTACTCGACCACCTAAAGACTATTTATTCAAAGTTTTTGAACACAGCCAAAAACGATTTACACCTAACTGCATCACTAATCTAAATAATTTCATCCAATCAAAATAGTACAAAGTCTAAAACGATAAGTACAGGTGATAAATTTAAAACACTTATGGTGGAATAACTTTTTGGGAGCTAGAAGAAACCATTTGTGTTTGATGCTCCTTCCTCGTGTTCTTGTATGCCTCAAAGAAGTCTTTATTCTCCTTTTCAAGCTCACACCACACTAAATCCACATAACATATGTAACATGTTTATGACCAAAAAGGAAATAGAAACATTGAAGTAAAAGACACTGCATGTGGAGGACGGTAGTTTTTCAATTTGATTTATAATATACTATGGGGATTTTTATTATAATCTATATGGAAAATATCATATTCAGACTCGCAACAATATTAAAATTATCTTTAAAAATTATAATTTTGTTGTTGTCGCTGTTCTTGTTATATAAATCCTCCTTTTATAAAATATTATTATGTCATTATAAAACAGAAATCTTAAAAAGAAAACAACAAATGATAACCATCCATGAAATCTGTCAAATTTATTATATTTTATCCCGTAAACAATCCATTATAGTCGTAGACTATTTTGCTTTGATGGATTCCATATTCCTAAAACTTATGATTTCCATATATAGTAGCATCCAAAATAAAATATTTGCAATTAAATAGTATTTTATAATGCTCCTAAGAACTAAAATAAAAACAATGTATATCCACCAAAAAATATCCACATATGATTTTAAAATATTTTCAGCAATTATATAAATTATAAGTATTCACCTGCTGTACAATATCTTTTTAGCTTAGCTACATAATAAATGATGATTACCAGTAGAAGTAATGGCAGGCATGATGTTTGCATGCTTAGAAAGGGCTTCCATGCATTCTTCTTTGCTCATATTGAATATTAAACACTCCTCTATCAGACGATGCACCTGCAAAAATACATCAAAACGAAAAAATCACATATATATATATATATATATATATATATATATATATATATATATATTCAGAATTCAATATGAAAGATGACTCAATGACAAAGGGTGGAATCCGAACACGATTAAGTTACTTCAAAGATGAATCAAAACTAGCAACCCATGCGCCTTAATTTCGATGTTAGGGGTTTGAGTCCAATTTAGCAAATAAGATCAAGAAATCATAAAAATGATGGTTACATATTCAATTACAGTCTCTAATATGGATCAAACGACATGTAACTAAGGTCTCAAAATCTCAATGATATATACATGTAATATATATGACATGCATGTATATATCCTTGTGTGTGTGTGATGACATGAAGTTGAATAAAATCTTGATGCGTAGGTTAAGAAAAAGAAAGAAGAGAACCTACCATGTGAATATATGAAGCAGAAGAATCAGCCATATTTATGATCTAAAAACCCTTTTGTTTCTTCTTCTATAATTTGTAGAGAGAGAGAAGAAAGAAAGAAGAGTGGGTAGGCTTTGATCCGAGCAGTTGTTGAAAGAGTTATGATAACGAGTGTATATATATATATATATATATATATATATATTATATATATATATATATATATATATATATATATATATATAATCAAAATATGGTTAATCTAGATTTGATATATGGAGAACATGCCCAAGAACAAAAATGTTTGTATTGTTTTTAGGTTAAATAAAAAAAGTTGGATGTGTTTATTTAAGGAATGGAAAAAGACATGGGTTACTATAGGTTTCCCCTCGTTTATAAAAAAAAGGACAAGAGAAAACAAAACACCCATAATAGAGATTAAATAGTAGTATAATATTATATAATAAAGTATTAATTAAATATATAATTAGTATGATGGCTGTACAAATGTGGGTCCCAGTTGCCACGTGAGAGGATGAATTTGATTGGTTAAAAGAGATTAGGAGGATTTTTAGGTAACAAAGACTTTCCATGTGGCACCAGCCCACGTGAAACGGGTCCAATGTGACCCCACCAAGTCGGTAAAACTAAAAATTGAACCGGATTAATTTAATAATAACAAACCCGGCTGATGTCATCTACAGGGTCCTAAACTCCAAATATAATTTTTAAATTTAAAATAATAATAATTGGACAAACCCGTGAACAGTAGCTTTATTAACATTTTAATTATTTTAGGTAGCATTTATAAATACCTTTTAGGGTGTTTTCGAAGCGAAATGATATTTAGCCTAGTTTTAGCGATTTGGCTTACCAATAAGACTACAGCAACACCGCATACCATGGTTTGACGTGTCATTGTGGTATTGCAATGAACATCACGTTGTCCGGTGTATGGTACGGTGAGGTCCGAACACAAGAAGAATACTTTTTTTTTATGGTTTTCATTTTATACAATATATCAACCATTGTCCATTCCTTTATATTTTATATTTTGAGAAAGTTAGAAACAATTTTTTTTCTATAAGTAAAATAACTTGACGATGAGACGACAAACAAAAAAAAAGAAATTAAATATTCTTTTACATTTTATTCTTACTATCATCTACATTAAATGATGACAGGTAAACTAAAATATTATTAATTTCATTATATATAGTATAAAGATAAATTAAAATAAAATATAAAAATATATTTAATATTTAATTTCTAAAAAAAAAGAAGAAAAACGAGAAGGTTCAACCAATGGCCTACAAATGTGAGGCAGGGGGTTATCTTGTACTATTTACATTACATAGGTAAGCCCGCCTACCCAAGTCCATCCACTACTTTGATTCTTACGAAAATACTTTACAAAACTAGTGTTCTTTAGAAAGATACTTTCTTATAAATATTTTTATATATATGGTTTAATGTATTTTTATAATTTACATCATACTATACATATACAATTTTTAACATCTAGCATTTGATATATATATATATATATATATATATATATATATATATATATATATATATATATATATATAATATATATATATATATAGAGAGAGAGAGAGAAACCGGATCGGGTGATGACTCATTTTAAAGTGAGGACTCGTGAGGACATTTTAAAAAAATCTAAAAAAAAATTACAAATCATAAAATCGAGCATAGATCTATGTCCGGGAAAAAAAATTGAAAAAAAAAACTGGATCATTAAAATTGAATCATGGATCATAATGATGCAAAATAAAAAATTCAAATTGAATCACGGATCAATTTTAATGATGCAAAAAAATTTTCCAATTTTTTTTCTCCCGAACATAGATTTATGTTCGATTTTATGATTTTGTATTTTTTTAAATTTTTTTTCAATTTTTTTAAGGTATCCTCACGAGTCCTCACTTTAAAATGAGTTCTCACATGAACCAGACCCTATATATATATATATATATATATATATATATATATATATATATATATATATATATATATATATAATAGATCATGGTAGATTGAATTCATGTGAGACGATGATATTTTGTGAGACATAGGAACAAAATCTTGACCGCTCATCTACCATGATCTATGGATGTGATTAAATCAAATTAAAACATATAGATGCGGTGGCATTTTTGAAATTCTATCAAACTTTGGGATTAATGAAAGGCACAGAGGGGTAGTATCGTAACTTTGTTTTTAATTGATCTGCAATCGTGAGTTAAACAAATTCATTCATTCTTCACGCACCAGAAAACTCTCGCCCTCCAACAAACCCTAAAAACCATCATTCTTCCTGATCTGCAATCCTGATTGAAGAACTTACCCGGATTCGATTTCCTTTCATTTTGATCCTGCTTCACATTGCTCTTCATAAAATCACTGAATCGATTTGATTTTGATTATGAAATGTTTCTTCAAAAACCCTAAGAATCTATTATGATTCATTCTCATTTTGATTTTCAGTGTTCTGATTCAGATTTTAAATCGTGATTACATTTTTCTTTCATTAATTCAAAGTTCGTTCGCAGTAAAATTTTGTTTCAAATCTCTCAAGAAAACCCCGAAGAAACTGATTCTGATTCTCATTCTGAAAAGCACAATTTCATTCTACCACAAATCAAAGCTCGGATACATCTGATTTTGAATCTCTTGATTCCAATTTTGATCATAAAAATGGATAGTTCAACAATCAGGTAAGATGACACTAATATCTCGTTTAGTTTGTTTTTATGATTCTGATTTCGATTTTGATTCTAGATATTATATGATAATGATTTATGAAACACTTTTGTGAAATTATGTGCTGTAACAATTTACTTGTTTAGTACACCTATGGTTAGTCTTTGATCCAACTTATTGTAGCTAGGGTTAGCAATGAATTTTAGAATTTCTGAATTTTCGATACCAAATGTCTTATATAACTTTAGTGTAGCCAAAGTTGTCAATAAACTTGTTTATTATAGGTAGGTTTATATTTTTTTATAAAATTTGTTTACTGCAGCTAGGTTTGTTTTGATTGTTAAGATGTTGTTCTAAGTGATTAATGTTTGTTGTTAACTTAAGTTTATTTTATAAGATACTTTAATAAGTACATTGTTTAATAATATTTACTCTATAGTAGAATAATTAAGATACTTTTAAACATGAGGGATTGACATAATATAACTTAAGATAGTTGATAACATAATGTTTGTTGTTCTACTTATTTAAGATAGATTGTAAATAACATTTATGGAGTTGATATTGATATCGGTAAGAACACGTAAGCAATAACAATCGTGTAATCCCCGGTTCCACAAAATAGATTAATTATTAACTAATACAGATGCTGAGAAATGGGTTATCTTATATGTGTATTCTAAGTATTCTGATTAGTATAATTGATCGAGGTTGTTGTCTTAATCAAAAATAACCTCAAAAACCACTAGATAGCTAGGGTAAGTAAGAGTCGAATCCACGAGGAGTTTGTGGTTAAACCTTGTGTTAAAATAGTCAAATGGAAAAACTAATGCTTGCAATTGTCACAAATTCAAATTAAACTAAAATAAACTAAAAAACTAGAAACTTTATGTTGCAAAAGGTTGCTAAAACAAATACTATGAATGAGAAAACAAGGTACTTCCGGTTCAGTTGTTCAGATGGTTGGACAAACATGTTTTCTTCCCTTTAATTCCAATTTAATTACCTAGACATAATTAAGGTTGACTCACATTCAATATATAATTATGGGCACACAAAATGTTGATCCAACTAATTGTCTTACTCCCTATGTCTAACTGGATTAGGAACAACTAGTGGTTTGGCGATAATGTGTCTTACGATTACATATTACAATGTTGAGCATTTAATACTACAAGTTCGGAATAATGTATGTGGATTCTACTATCCATCTTAATTCCTAAACTACTTGAATTTGGAATGATTAGTGAATTTAACAATACACTATCTTAGTTGCAATATCACACAATAAGAAAAACCCAACTCCAATTATTGCAAATAAAACTTAAAACTTGAAGAATAGAACAATGATTGAAATTAATTGGAATAAAAGTGTTCATCCTAACATCCTACAAAGTTCCCGGAAGTAACCCTAATGGTTTAGTCTTCCATAACAATCAAAAAGCACACAAATTGAATAAAAACAATGGAATTCATACTAAAATTCATAAACAAACTTGAAATCATAAAACTAATAAAGTCTAATGATCAATCAATCACGGAACGATGAAACCTTGGAGAAAAAGTAATCAAATCTGGAGTTTGATGGAATTGATGACGATTCACCAGTTGAATGATCTTCAAACGTTGCTTGATGATGAACTTGGTGATTCGTAGCCTCGGATTCAGAAATTGATGATCAATAACGCGTTTGGAGAAGCTTTGAAAGTGTTTGGAACCCTCCAAAACTGTGGAAAATCGCAGGGGAGAAGTCCAAAGTCTATTAGGGTTTAATCTCCCTTAAATAGGTGCTAAAAAATTGATTTTTGGGTCTTTTTCCGCGTCGGCGTCCTAGCAGGCGTCTTAGACGTCATATAGGACGTCTTGCCGTCCTTCGGGACGTTTTACATGTCTTCTGTCGTCCTTGATTTGCACTTGAAAATGGCCTAAAACGTGTAGGCGTCCTAGGGGGCGTCTTGGACGCGTTCTAGGACGTCCCTCATCTTTGTTGCCCCTTTTTGGTGATGAAAACGGTAGAATCAGTAAAACTCAAAACATGAAAGTTGTAGGAATTTTTGTTTAGTTTCCAGAACTTCTTCATTCATGTCAATCGACGCTCTAGATCTTGAGATATGATCAAAACATTGAAGAGTGATCAAATTTCTCAGCACCATTTTTCTTCATTCCTTTAGCAATTCGTCTCCCATGCTTGTTAGCTTCCTTTTGCTCGTTTTTCTTGTGCGTTCCGCCCACTTTAGCACTAATTAGTTTCCTGCACATAATGTTCAACATTTCATCAAAGTAGTGCCATTCTTGGACAATTATACATCAATTCAACAGATTTATAACAATTTAGTATATTCATAAAATAGACTTATCAAACCTTCCCAACTTTATTCCAAACTCGTCCCGAGATTGTCCAGAAATAATCAGTGTAGGCTAATCCTCTCATCCTAAGAAAAACTC